TCAAATGGCTATATTAGGAGTTTGATCAATTATTTCCAATTGGTTATTAGTGTAGAAATTAGTATACATCGAGTTGTTGAACAAGTCCTACCCAACCACGACAGTAGACAACGTGTTCTGGTTTGTGCAAGAGCTGGCTGGCGGTTTATGATCTGGACTCAGCCTAATTAGAACAATCGAGGGTACATGCTGTTTGAGTTCATCAGTCAGCCATTAGGAGGAGGTATATCCTACGTTACCTGGCACCAAAACACATATTTCTCAATTTGTTACTCAATTGTATGGTAGAAACTTGATCACTCTGTATTCAATTGCAGTCTGCTGACAAAAACGTTTTTTTTTTGGCAGTGTAGTGTGCATTTAAGCCTGTGTGTATTCTATCCTGAAAGTGGTACTTCAGTCACATCCAACAGGCATAAATGAAAGTGGCTGATTCTCTATACCTGACATGACTACACAGTGATTGACTACGGATTATCAGTCAATAAAGGTCGTTTAAGATTGCATTACAAAACAGCCTCTGCATGTGACAACGTCCTCAAAGATGAGCAACACAGTGCACAGTCATCAACATCTAGGAAACAGCCAAGGATGGTAATCTCATCCAAAAGCTCAGATGACGGTGATAAACAGAAACATCTAAATGACAATATCATCTCAATGTCTCAGCTCAGTTAATCAATGCACTTTTCCAGCACAAACAAACAAGGTTTATATTGACGAAAAATCCACTTGCAGAAAAAAATGCCCCACAGTCTATAAAGCAAAGAATAAGATGAGGGAGAAGGGGTGATCTTGCAGTGTGAGGAACATCAGGCATGCATTGTGTAATAAGTAAAATGCTTGGGCTTCATTAGACTAGAAATGGGGAACTGCCTGGACCGTAACTGAGGGTTTACATTCACCTCACTGTCATAGGGAGGGAGGCAGGGGGTGGGAACAGCAATTCTAGCAGGGCACTTATTCCATTACAGGGCTCAGCTTACTGAGGAGATGAATTCAGCCAACCATTCATCCTGATAGACATAACTTAAGTTTCATTTGAAGAGGTGCGACAAAAGAAGTTGACTGAAAATCCTGAGGTCAAGGGAGGCAAGAGAGAGCGTGCGCGCGACAGCGAGCGCGAGCGAGACAGCGAGCGCACGCGAGAAGGTGGTGGAGGAGGAGGAGGAGGAAAAGAGAATGATAGGGGGAGTATTTTCTGCAGCAAAGGGTTGCCGATTGGAGAGTGGGAGTGAAGAGTCGATTACTGCAAGTGGAATTTGGATGCGTACTTGAGGTTGATAAGTTGCAGCGTTACAACGCTGGACCATGGTAATGACACTAACTGGATTTCTCAGACAACAAGGTGCAGAGCTGGATAAACACAGCAGGCCAAGCAGCATCATAGGAGCATTTCTGCTGAAGGGTCTAGGCCCGAAATGTCAGCCTTTCTGCTCCTATGATGCTGCTTGGCCTGCTGCGTTCATCCAGCTCTGCACCTTGTTGTCTTGGATTCTCCAGCATCTGCAGTTCCTACTATCTCTAACTGGATTTCTCCATGTGTCTGGACAACTGACAATGGACTTATCGTGTGGAATGGGCTTTTTCTGTGCCGTTATGAACCTATGTATACAACTTGAGCAAATAAAAATCAAAGCTCATCTTCCAGCACTGGAGAAACAAAAACAGAAATTGCTGGAAAAGCTCAGCAGGGTCTGGCAGCATTTGTGGGCAGAAATCAGAGTTAACATTATGTCAGGTGATCTTTCCTCAGAAGCGTCATTTCATTTCTGAAGGTGGCCTCTCGGCTTGCTTCCAGCTGGAGCACTGACTGGTCTTCTATGGAGCCTGGCTCACAAAGCACAACAGACTGGCACTGGAAGAGGGTGACAATGCTAAATGCTCAGAGACATTTTGATTCTCCAACACCCAGATGCCTGTTAACCAAACAAAAATGTAATCAGCTGTGTGTTTGGGATCATTTTCCTGCCCTTCATCTGTCTACAGTTCCTTTGCCCTCACTATTCCTGTTTCTTTACTATCCTACGTTGTTTTATCACTGTCCTTTTTTGTCTTCATAGATCAATTCACTTTGCATTTCCTCAGCCTTGTGGCTTTGCCATCCTGTTACTATTACTCTACATGATCTTCCCTCACTGACTTCAACTGCAGGTTTTCAGATGGAGAGGCTATGTCGAGGATAAACTGCATCTACCAAGTTTGACAGGAATGCTGCACCTTCCTATAGCACCCCCGAACTACCATCATAACCTAAGTAAATCCTGAAGAAAGGAGTTAGCAGTAATCAATGGGAACAACGAGCTAAAATAGAAATTACCATGTCGATCTAAGCAGAGAAACCAATGTTGTTAAGGAACAGGGAATAACAAATGAGACACAGGAGGAAGCAAAGCACTGGAATTTCTTGCAGAAATGCTATTCTATCTCCAAATATTTTTGAGCTACACACTGGATCTCGAAAGCTCTCTGCTTTGGGGCCACACAATGAAGTCAATAGCGATCCAATTAAAATAACAGGCTGCCGTTTGAAAATGAAGGTAATTAAGAAAAATTGTTTGAGCACAATTAAAAATCAGTCAACTGTAGTGGAGCTGTAATCACAAGGACTTTAAAACAGATTAGGGGAGAAATTCAAAGCTTCATGACAAACAGTGAAGTGCATCTTCAAGCAATGCAAGTTACTCAAGCAAACATTTCATGTCATTGCCCCAAAATCAAAACAGTCGTATGAATAAATCTCTGAAGTAAAAGATTCATTGCTTCATTGTAATGTTTGGTACACGGTCCTTTACAAGTCAACGCTGAAAAATTTGATAGAAAATAAAATCTCATTCTAAGATTCTGCAATCTTAAGATGGTTTCCTAAGACTAAGGTGCAAACTGTACTACTTGAAGTATTCAATCGGGCTATTCCACATTGCACACTAAAAAGGCCCCCAAATATTAGCAGCAAGTCAAACAGCCATAGTTTTGCCTGCTGTACATCAAGTCTCGAGGTTTGCAAAGTAGATCTGCAAGTGTCTACTGAATTTTGTTGACACTTCAATGCACGTAGAATTTCTCAAACGCTGACTCTGCCAGTTAACGATGACCTAATTGCCCTTTGCAAACACTTTGTTCAAGGCAGTGTACAGTAACAATCTGTGCTGGAGAAAGCAGTGGCTTATCTCATATTATGTGCAATGTTGTCAACTCAGGCCCAACAATATAGAGATTGCTAGAACCTGCAGTGGATCATCTACTTTTATATGACCAGTGAATGATTTCTTCTTCAGACATTGTGAATAAAGTGGTATTGGTCAGTCATTCAACAGCTGCTGTGAAAATCTCCTGCAGACTGAGCAAATCCAAGGAACTGTTGTGACACGAATTCCCAGTCTTGTAAATGGTTCAAGAGAAGGAAATTTATGTGATTAAGAGAAGTAGCTTGTACTTACATAGTACTCAAAAATGACAACCATCTCTCGTGAGACTGCTCTTACAATAGAACACACCTCACAGTGTGTCACAAGATTTATCAACTAATATTTGCCACTGAGCCACTTGACGATATATTGTTTCAGGTTGTCAAAAAAGTTTGATCAAACCAGTACGTTCTAAGGAATATCTTAAAAGGAAGAGAGGTAGGTAGAGAGAGGCAGAGGGGTTTAGGGAGGGAATTCCAGCATCAAAGGCCCTGCTTAATCGTGGAACAATTTCAGTCAGGAATATTCAAGAGGCTGGAGCTGCAGGAGTGCCAAAACTTGGCACTCCAGGGGCGGTGGGCCTGGAGGATGTAGCACAGGCCAGGAAAGAAGCAATGGAAAACAAGGATGAGCATTTTAAAAATAAGGCATTGCTTAACCATGAGCCAGTGCAGGTTGGGTGAGTAGAGTGGATGATGAGAATGGCACCTGGTGCAAGTTAGGCCACTAGCAGCCCAATTTGCCAGCAAGGGGAGAACAGTCTGGTTCAGCCTTAAACAGTAATCACGGTGAGGGGTGGAGTCAGCAGCTGAAGAACAGAGATTGTGCTCAGGGCCGAAAACAACGGCTTCAGGCTTCTGAATATTTCATTGGAGAAAACTTCTGTTCATCTCAAAGCAGATGTCAGACAAGTCGTCTGACAATTTGAAGGTGATGGACTTTGCCAAAACATCGCCAATATCCATTAGCCGAACAAATCTTTTGGTGAATTATTAACATTTTTATTTATTGTGTCATTTGGAAAACAGAACTGCACATTTGCTACTTTGCCCTTGTGTGGTAATGAGCACGGATGCTAAACTGTTCTCAGGCCTCATCAAAGCGGAGACATAAAAGTAACTGTTGTCATTGCAACAGTCAAGAGCTCCCTAAAAGGTGGTTTAAGCAAAGATGCACTTCTCTGACATCTGCCACAGCCTAACTCCGAAATGGATTGTCAGTGAACATGCTTAGTTTCATAAATTCTCAAAGCATTAAAACGATACACAGATACTTGAGATTCAAGCAAAGTTTTTACTTGCAGAAATGTTTGCCAGTCAAAGGCTAATAGCAATTTATAAAATCCATTTACATCAATTCAACCAAACTGTACAGAGCTGTTATTATACCAAATTAAAGTTGACATTCAATTTCTCAACTCAGCACTTGCATTCGCTCTGTTAACCGTTTCCTGTTGTGCTTGCTTCACAGCTGTACAGCAACAGCATCTATTTGTCCCTAGTAATGAAAACAGCAAGAAACTGAATATCAACAGACTGCATGAAGCACATTTGAAATGTCATCGACGAACAGTGCATAAAATTTGAGATAATTGTCACTTTAACTTCATTACTGTTCAAGGTATGCTTAGAGTGAGGAGGCAAAGGAGGGTGGGATTAATCTGCCACCTATATTTTGTCCTTTTCTGCCTGTCTGGGCTGGTAATTTACATTGGTTACCACTCTGCATGTGGAAGTGCCCTCCAGTATCTCACTCATATTCTTTATGTGAGCTAAAGCAGAGAGTGGATCCCCATAACGAAATTCAAACTTGCCTGCAATCCAATCCCAGAATTTTCCAGTACTTTCCAGAAGACATCATCGATCAACAGGATTGGTGACAGGTACTTGGCAATACAGGACTTGAATACTGTTGAAAAGATAGATATCTTTCTGAAGTTTTCCAGCTTACAGGACTGATGCAAGAGCGCTAAATTTCAAATGATCACAACAATTTATATCAGAGACGTGAAACTGTTTCTGTTCTAGCGGTAACTGAATAATACTTTCTCTTCCTTTGTTGAAAGAGGACAGGTTAGCAGATCACTTAAGTCATTGGTAAGTAACCACCGCACCCATGGTCATATCCATGAACAAAGTTTGAACTTATGGGTATATTTAGAACGCTGACTCAGGAAGCCTTTTCATAGAAGTGGCAGAAGCCAGGGTAAAATCCCAGTGACAATTACATTCAGGGAAAACAGATTATAACCTCATTTCAATGTTTTCCCTTGTTTCAGTCCAGAGTGACAAAATGGAGAACTGGACAGCTTTTTACACTGGACGAGCATTTGTCATTTCAAGTAAAATCAATAAATTAGGTCAACTCTGAATTATTAGCTCAGGAAGAATTAGTGCAATGATTTGAGAGTTGACAGTATTATTACTGGATACACCAGTGGGTGGACAAGCAGCAGGAGTGAGTCATTTCTGTTCCTGAATACTGTCCAAATAACATACTATCTTTCTTACTATATTACATCTCTGAATGAGCAAAAGTTTTCCATCAAGTTTTTATAACCTTGTTTCTCATTCAACTTTTTAGAACAGCAAAACAGCAATCAAGAAAAGAACATGGAAGGAGACTACTGAGATCTGTGATTAAAAGCAGGCATCAAACAATATCAGTGTGCCCTAGGTAGATAGGGCTTGGAGTTCAGTCTAGATCATCATCAGTTCCCTCTTTCACCCATTACAATTCCATGGTTGCTGGGAGATCATAATGGAGGGATAATTCAGTTCAGTCAATCAGCTCCCTTGTCTAAACTTCTGCTTGCAATCATGATTTTGGTTAGGAGTCCATCATACATTCCAAACGTAGGGCAATTGATCCGAGGAGCTTACTGGCAGAAATTATGATGATTGAGATTTATTTGAGGCCTGTTAGTGCTTTGAGCTCACAATTAGCTTAGCAATATGAAAACTGATTCAAAGGAAAGGAGCAATGTATCATTGCAAGTGTGAATGACTAGCTTTGGATTCCAGCAGGGTTATGATGTTTCACTGGATTTTACAAGTTTTGAAAAGGAATGAATGGCACATACAGCATTACATTGTCAGGTTCAGTCATGAAAAACTCATGCTTGCTGCTAACCTAACTAAAACTTGCAGGCTGACATATTTGTGATAGCCACAATGACCTGCATTTTTATCACTGAAGGAGTCTATCAAAGTTTTGCCCTGGGAGAAAGCTAACTTTGCACTATTTATAGGTTCCCATTGAAGTGTATGGGCTCCTGGGACTTTTCTGAATCCTCATTTTCCTCCAGGTTGACGAGTCATCATTGGATGATGAGTGAACCCTCTCCAAAAGATCTGCATTATCTTCACGCTAGAATTTCTCCAAAGATTTGTTTTACAGTTGGTGAGAAAAATTAACTTTGAATTACATAGTTGAAAACAGATACAGCACCAATGAACAAAGGATCCGGTGGTGTTCAATGTTTTGAAAGTACTTTAACAATACATGGAATTCATCAGAATAGGTCAACTAAGAAACAAAATAAGTTTGAGTAATTACATGAAAGCAGAATTGTTTGAGGATGAAACCTCATCAGTACTGGGCCAGAAATAGCTCTCTCACACCTGAGCCACATACTCCAGGTTCAGGCCCCACTTCATGCGTTAAGTGCAAAATTCAAGGCGAACACTCCAGTAGGGATATGCTGCACTATCCAAGTTTTTCTCCTTTTTAAAATATGACAAAATTTACATTTTGTCAAATTTATAGGAGCCCACAGTTTTGAGGCATGAAATGTTGACCAATATATTTTTGTTAGCACAGTAACAACGGTGTCATCTACACAGTAAACTCAAGGAAAGAAGGAACGTTAAAAAAAAAACAGCAAATTGAGACCAAATATCATTGAGGAAGTAGAGAGGTTGTCCAGCAAATAAATCACCAGTTTGTATTCACATGAGCAGCAGCTCTGTGACCCTATAAACGACACTGCTAAACCATCAACTCCAAATAGAAAAAGAAAATACCTTTTTTGGGTTTGACAGTGCTCCTGAAAACGGTTTGCAAGATGAATTTTCAACAAAAGAGCTGTTTCAGCATAAACTGGATTTCATCCTGACGTGATGCTGCCTTGCTTATTTTTTTAAAAAAAAAATTGAACTCCTTCTTCCAGAGATAATTAGTGATAATATGAATGGAATTTAAGGACAAGATACCCATCACTACTTTGTTTAACATTATCAAACCCATGTCAACTCAAAGAGAAATCTCATCTTTGTGTGTCGTGAGAACAACAAGCTGCTACAAAATCCAATTTATCCTCTCCAGAAACATATTTTCATCTCTCCTAAGAAGTGGAGTAAAGAGAATACGCCACTTTTCAAAACATCTGGCTCAAAGCAATACATCCCAGCATGTAAATATTAATCAGTCCATTCTCTTGGCTCAGCAACTCGTCAAGTCTTTGACATATACCTCAAAATTCTGTAGTTTGTTTCCGTCCTTCTAAAACACCCTGAAAAGTAATGCTGCGGCCAGACAAAAATTTGTCAGACCCGGCCCCCGCATGTGTACAAAAGGTAAACAGTCAAAATAATATCTTTGAGTTGTTCATTCCATTCAGCATTTTTACTGTTAAGCAGATCCAAGATGGACAGTGATGTATGAAGTTATCAGCCAATGGATTTGTCCAATTGGTCGATTTTACAGCATACAGCATTGCATATCTAGGTCTCCTCCCTACCAGTGTCCCACAGGCTCTCTTTATATGTGCTCTAAATCATTAAGTAATAATGCCCTGCACTTAGGTCTATTTGACAACATAATTAACATTCATCTGCATTTATTTATTTATTTTTTTTTTTTTACACACATACCTTGCCTTGCCTTCCCTTTCCTGAGCAACTGAACAGTTATGCTGGTTAATAAATAAAGAATTGAGCTTTTTTTGCCTACATGGTGAATTCACACACAAGGAAAAGACCGTTTATTCCATAAAGCATATAAATCGAAGTCAGTGACATTTATTTTGCATATTATGCCAATGTATCCAACCACAACGTGTCAACATAGTTGTATCACACTCTGCGCCAATGGTGTCACCAAACTGGAAGCTAACTAGAATATCAATCCTTTCAACACCTTTAACGAAGCTCTAAAGGAGGCAACTTGGCCATCTGCCTCAAGAACAGTGAGGTCCCATGACCATCTCAGCCAACATGGCCAATACCAGTAATGATGGTCAAAAAGAAAAATACACTGGTTGGTTAGAGGGTACGATTTGTGGATCCTTATGGGTAAAACTCAATTTAATCAATGCAAAATTGCTAACATCACCATTCTGAAGTCATTGCATCGAAAAGTTCTCTTTTAAAAACGTACTTATTGTTTTTACACCTCTTGACCGAATTTGCTAACTCAAACTACCAAATTTGGTTGATAGGAATAAAAATGATAAGATACCAGCTTATGTTATGGAAACAGTGATTTCAGACTCAGTAACTTCCAGATGTAGGTAAGAAACACCGAACCAAAGGCCAGGAAAGTTTCGTGTCACTTCACTGATCTCTATTCTGTCACCAGATATCAGTCCAGTTAGCGGTAGAGGCATTGCAAACTGAAAATAGCCAATCGATGAGTTTTAGACCAGGAAATTGATGACTCAATGGAAAATACAATTCCATGAACATTAGGGGAGAGCAGGGATGGGGAACAAGACCTTTGTTTGCTAATGGGCCATCAACATTGACTGTCTCCGCCCACACACAAGTGCTGTCAACATTCATAACTACCAACTCTGCAATCTCCTCCAGTCCTGAAACTTCCAAAATCTCTGTACTCTAACTCCAGCCTTCAGCATCTTTGACTTTAAGTGCTGCACCACTGATGACCAGGTCTTGGTCTGCCCAGGCCATAGGGTCTGGAATTCCCTCCCTAAATCTCTCTCCCCTGCTTTAAGGTGCAGCCTCAAATCTAGCTTTGAGTGGAGACCACCTTACCAGCTCATGTCATTTGATATCAAACCATCTTCAGTAACCGTCCCGATAAAGCAGCTTGGGCCATATTTCTACATTAATAGGTGCTCGACACATGCAAAATGCCGCTGGGATGCAATTAAATGATCATGTGCCTCTAGAGAGGAAAGGTGAAAATTGGAAAGCAATGAACCACTGCCTTATTACAAGAGATATTTGAAGCTCATCTCTTCAGTACATCTTTATAATCAGGAACATTTCTACATGCTAAGTGTTAGATTCAGCTTGTATTAAATTCAGCACAGATTTTGCACTGTTCAATTTGCAGGTCAACATGATAATTGGCTGGTTACAAGGTTAAATGGAGGCAATTCTTTTCACAACTGTACAAATAGGTTAAACAGTAATGCACAGCAGTTTAATGGATAGGCTTCCACCTATCCTTCAATGTAACAAATTGAGTGTATTTTGGTCACATCATAATCATTACTCAATCTAATTTTGTTGTTGACTTATCATACTAGGATGCAATTGTTTAAGAGGACGTGTAAACACAGCATCAAAATTGCCAGCCATCATAATACACAGCTGGTCATGGCATAAACTCTGAAATGTTGCCAGTGAGGCTAATTCCAGTATTCTGAAAACCATGTGGTTTAAAAATAAATACATTCCTCCAGTTTCATTTAGCAAAGGTGAACACAAATGTGAAAGCTTTGCCACGTATTCCCAGCTGTGGACAAGACTTCCGCAAACAGCCACTTGTGTACCATACCTTTGCATCTGCTGCATTTTGTATTTATTCAGGCAACTACTCTTGCGTTCTCGCTTGTGACTGCAAATTTACAGCCACAGATGCATTTCAAGCTCCACATTCTCAACAGCATCCTGCAATATTAGAAACATCTGTTAAGAGAAGCTCACTGCTCCGTCAGT